CCTCCGCCTCCTGGGTTCAGGCAATTCTCCTGCCTCAGCCTCCTGAGTAGCCGGGATTACAGGCACGCACCACCATGCCCAGCTAATGTTTTGTATTTTTAGTAGAGACGGGGTTTCACTATGTTGACCAGGATGGTCTCAATCTCTTGACCTCGTGATCCACCCGCCTCGGCCTCCCAAAGTGCTGGGATTACAGGCTTGAGCCACTGTGCCCGGCCCAAGAGGGGCATATTTTTCTAATATATCTTGTAAAAACAATATATCTATGATTGTATTTAGTGATTTCTAAGATTGAGAAAGTTAATAACCACAATTTTAATAAAATATTTTCAAATGAAAGGGCTTAAAAAAATGTACAGTCTGGAGAGCATAAGAGTCTGAATATGGACAAGGAATATTAAAATACAATTTCTACTATTTAACAAGGCAATTTAGGTTTAAAGTTAAAGGTTTTTTTTCTAAGTTCTTGATGGATTCCGTTTTAGTAAAACCATACATATTTATTGTTTCTTTGTCCATGATGCAGTATTAAGAACATAGGTTCTTTCACTGGAAAAAATGATAACCTAATGGTTTACCTGATGTCAGACCTGAAAGATAATAGTACATTGTACTACTGTGATTTTTATTCAACTATATTAATATCTGCATGATTCAGTTAAGTTTAAAGTTTTAACTGTCATATAGTTTATGTCAAATTAGATGCTTGCTAGAGATTATCATTTGATTTTTATAGATGAGATAAATTATATTTATTCATCTTTATATGGTATCTGTGTTCCACATAAATATGAAAAGTTTTTCATAGCACGCTTTTACCATTCTTCTAATTTTATATAAAATTTTACATCAGTATTACCTGGGCTATTTGGGCTATGAAGTATCTTAGAAGAGGTAACTTCTAAGTTTGCAGGATGGCAATTCTGAGATGATTCATTCTGGGTGAATGATGGAACAAATACTCTTTCTGGAGGTTTATGATAGCTTCCTACTATACTATGCATTAATTTAGAATCCATTATCTGTAGAAAACAAAGGAATTATATAGTTTAGTATCATTCTTTCCTATTTTAAGGGTGAAAGCATTGTACAAAAATTCAGGTGAAACTTTAACAACATAATCATATACTATGGAGCTGTACCTTTATGAACTTAATAAGAAATTCAACTCTAATAAGCTTGGCAATAAAAAAATATGATTTCTTGTGTAAGTAATATAGATAATTCTGCTTGATTTTCAATAATCATATGCCCTGGAATGAGCATGACATGAGTGATGTGAATTTACTGGATTCTCAAGTTACTCATAAATCCCATATCCCGATCATAGTCTGAGCACTTCTCCACAAGCAGTGTGACTCTAGGACTTGAAGAGAAAGTATGTGTTCTAAAAGACAACAGAGCTTTTAAACACAAACCAAAAATATAAACTGATTCTCTAATACTGATTGTTGAATTCTAATGTATGGCTTCCTAAGGGATTTTCAAGAGTAATTTTGGATACGTGAAATATTGGAATCTAACCCTTGAATAAGACACATCTCTGCTTAATGCATTAGCATTTTAATAACCTAGATTAGAAAGTTTCCAAATTTTAAGAATCTAGAATAGTTTTGTTAGTCTGGTTCTTTTGTTGTTGTTATTGTTTTTGTTTTGGTAAGAGAGCCCTTTTAACCACTTTAGCAGTTAAGTTTTGGTCTAAATTTTCCAAATCATTTTATTTTCCTTTCTGCAATTTAAATATTTTAGAAATGTATTCTATTCTTTAATAGATTCTAGTCAATGTTAATTAAACTAATTCATAATCATATAAGGTGATAACTATTCACACAAAAAAATAACTCACTGGCAGGATTTTAAGCTAAAAAGCTTGTTTCAAAATACAAATTCAAGAATTACACTATAGCATTAGCCTATTTTGATTTTTGAGATTTGTACATTTTCCATTTCAATACCTCCCCAGTTCACAAGACAAAGGCAGTCACTTCCCATGATTGTATTTTCTGAAAGGGCAGAAGACACAGTTCACTTCCTAGAATTTTCTTTTTTTTTTTTTTTTGAGACGGAGTTTCGCTCTTGTTACCCAGGCTGGAGTGCAATGGCGCGATCTCGGCTCACCGCAACCTCTGCCTCCTGGGTTCAGGCAATTCTCCTGCCTCAGCCTCCTGAGCAGCTGGGACTACAGGCACGCGCCACCATGCCCAGCTAATTTTTTGTATTTTTAGTAGAGACGGGGTTTCACCATGTTGACCAGGATGGTCTCGATCTCTTGACCTCGTGATCCACCCGCCTCGGCCTCCCAAAGTGCTGGGATTACAGGCTTGAGCCACCGCGCCCGGCCTAGAATTTTCAACTTTAGCCATTGCCATGATTGGCTATCTCCTAGAACATTCTGATTGTTCTAAATTAGAGGCTATAAAGCCTAAAGTTTACTAAGATACTCGATGCTTTTTGTTCTTGCAAGGCAACATATTTTGCTATTCTTATTAGTACCAGCTATCTCAGATGCTGCCTGTTCCCCATGGGATATCGCATCTATTTAAGTTGCTGTTCCTTAAAAAAACAAAAGATCAACATTAGTCACAGCTGGCTCACTATAAAGTAGAGGCAAGGCCCCAACTTACTAAGTTCTGCATATGGTTGTACATCTTCAGAGAGAGGTAAGTGGTTAAAGCTATCCCAAGAACACTGGAGCAACTATCTTACTCAGTTTTCAGCTCCGGGTGGGTTTCTCCAATAATAGAAAGAATGAAATTTTGCTATTAGTCACTACATACTGAAGTCCCTGGGAGGTCTCTGCTTCCTCTGACCCAAATATAATATTATTTCACAAACTGGATTTTGTACCAATTAAAAAACTAGGCCAAATTTGAGGTTTTTAATGTATATCAAATAACGACTACTTAGAAGATTGCCAGTAAGTTAAAAATCAGACTACAGTTTATTCAAATTAATATAGACACATATTAAAGTGGGCACAAGCAGAATGACCCACTGATAGAATAAAAATACGGTGAAGAAAAAGAAAGAAAACTGTAAAGAAATGAGAGGGCAAGTTATGCTGTGACACAGAGCTCAGAGATTCTCATTGTAATGGGATCTCAGCTTAACCCTTATAACCTGGTCCTGTGTTGTAAACATAAGCCTACTAGAAGCTTATTTACATAAAGCCTACTACAAGCTTATTTACATAAAGCACTGAAGCATCCTGGGAGAAAAACTCACTCTGAAGGAAGATTAAGTAACTACAAAAGGCTTTATCCAAAATCAAAGCCTTATTTGGCTGAGGAGAGGAGTGATTCTCAGTAGTTTATGGTGGTGGTCATTCTAATTTATCTCTGACCTAGTGCCATAGACTCATATGTGGGTCCTAAAAAGAGAGAGTTTAAATAAAAACTGAGAAATGTTTCACCAATATCTCCATAAAATATCAAGGCACTAGCTTCCCTGCTTTGTGTAAGATGTTTATGCCAATGGAGGAGGAGTCAGATTGCTAATATAGTTTTGGCCCCTTTCTGGTGCATTGGTTAGTAGCAGTCAGCATGCGTGCGCGAGAGCAAGAGTAGGAAAGCAAGAGAGCAAGAGAAACAGAGAGGGAGCACAGATGGAAGGGACATATTCATAGGCACATATGGGAAATATTTCTAGAGACAAGTTTCTGAAAATACAGAGAAGTACCTAAACCACAATCTCTAGGATTCTGGTGTTTGTGGTATGAGACTTAGCTAGCCACTGGTAACTGAAAAGGCCTCAGGAATTCTTATAAAACATTTTATAGGTGTCTGAAAGTAGGGGCAAAAGGCTATAAAGTGTGAACCTCATTTGTATCAAGCCTGGGAAATTCAGGTTATACCTGGAACCATTCTTTTTTCTTAAAGTTTTTACTTTATTTCTTCTAAAATCAAACAAAAAAATGGGATACATGTGTAGAGCATGCAGGTTTGTTACAAAGGTATATGTGTGCCATAGTGGTTTGCTGCACCCATTGACCCATCCTCTAAGTTCCCTTGCCTCACTCCCCATCCCCCAACAGGTCCTGGTGTGTGTTGTTCACCTGTGTACCATGTATTCTCAATGTTCAACTCCCGCTTATGAGTGAAAACGTGGTATTTGGTTTTCTGTTTCTGTATTAGTTTGTTGAGGATGATGGCTTCCAGCTTCATCCATGTCCCTACAAGGGATATTATCGCATTTCTTTTTATGGCTGCATAGTATTCCCTGGTGTATATGTACCACAGTTTCTTTATCTAGTCTATTGTCCATGAGCATTTGAGTTGGTTTACCTGGAACCATTTTTGACAGCTTGTGAACAACCAGGGAAATTACTGATTGTCTTTATGGTCTATAAAATTAAGATACCCTAATTGGCTGTAACTAAGGACCTGATGCATAAAAAAACTATCCCCCACTCTGCCAAAATAATGCTCTAGACACTTTGCTGCAAAACATTTCAATGTATTATGGAGAAAAACACTTATTGTATAATACTACTAGAGAGACAGCATTAGGGGCTAGTCAGAGATACTATAGAAGATTTTTGGAATAAAGGAATCTCTATTTGCTATTACTGCTAATTCTTCCAAGTTTGGATTTTCCTTAGAGAAACTGAGGAAAGATCAACAACTCAGTTTCTTTTATCTGTTTTTTTCTTTATGTATGCATCTACACTAACCTTAACGCCAAATACAGTAAAGGCTGGGCTAACTCTTATTTTTTAATGTATAGTACTTTAAGAGGTAATTTATTTCCATAGTACTTTAAGGTATATAGTACTCTATAGTGCTTTTTTCCTATAGTACTTACAACTGAGTAAGCTAATCTGTGGTGGAGGAACTTACGTTGTAGATATCCTATAATAATTACATAATGTGTTATTTATAATGTACAATAACCAAAATGTTAAGATGTGACAATAAAAATTAACTGGTCAATGGAAAGTAGTAAATATATGAATGTAACATAAATACTTCAGTGGGATTCAACTATTCATTTGTTGATCATCCAATAAATGATGTTTAAAAAATTGGGTAAAAAATCCAGTTACGCCTTTTATCTCACTCCATGCATCAATACAAATGTCAGATAACTACAGAGTCAAATAAAAAAAAAAACTCAAAAAATTATTTTAAGAAATCAGTGAACAATTAACCTTAGAGTAGGTAAGACGTTCTATGTTTAAAAGTAACAGAAAAATAAAGGAAAAGATATAAACGCTCTGTTAATACAACATATAAGGCTGGGCACAGTAGCTCACACCTGTAATCCTAGCATCCTGGGAGGCCAAGGCGGGCGGATCACAAGGTCAAGAGTTTGAGACCAGCCTGGCCAGCATGGTGAAACTCCGCCTCTACTAAAAATAAAAAAATTAGCTGGACACGTTGGCACACACTTGTAGTCCCAGCTACTTGGGAGGCTGAGGCAGGAAAATCGCTTGAACCCAGGAGACGGAGATTGTAGTAAGCCAAGATTGTGCCACTGCACTCCAGCCTGGGCAACAGAGTGAGACTCTGGCTAAAATAATAATAATAATACAACATATAAAAATTGTAAACAAAATTGAATGGCAAAAGACAAACAGAAATAAATAAGTGCGATGAAGAACAAAGGGTTAATGTTAATTTGGAAAGAGCTTTTGGAAGTCAAAAGAAAAATACTAACACCATAATAGGAAAATGACAAATAATTATAAACCATCAATTCACAGAATAATGTGGCCAGTAAACAATAAATTTGGCTGGGAGCAGTGGTTCATGCCTGTAATCCCAGCACTTTGGGAGGCTGAAGTGGGTGGATCACTTGAGGTCAGGATTTTGAGACCAGCCTGGCCAACATGGTGAAACCCCATCTCTCCTAAAAAAGACAAAAATTAGCCGAGCATAGTGGCAAGTGCTTATAATCCCAGCTACTCAGGAGGGTAAGGCATGAGAATCACTTGAACCCAGAGGTGAAGCTTGCAGTGAGCCGAGATTGTACCACTGCACTCCAGACTGGGTGACAGAGTGAGACTCAAACTCAATAAATA